ATAATTTCTTTGCCAGTAGGATATCATACTGAGCTGAGATGTTCAGTAAATTTAGAAAATTACCAGCGCCTTGTTGGTAGCAAACAGATTTTGCCGTTCTGTTGTGGAATTCACTTTCATCACTTCCACGCCGAGGTATTGTTTCTGCTGTTAGGTAACGCAGAACATCAATAATTCTGTACAAATACTGGCGTAGTTCAAGAGCATGCAACCTACGTTTGTCGAGTAATTCCTTGGCCTCTTTACACAACTGGTCAAAAATAACTGCCGTCAATGTTTCGCATGCTACGCGGTGCTTTATTTGCAAACAGTGTTGAGCCACTATATGACTAAGATTATTCCACTGATTGAATCCACCTCGAAGCACGTTTGTGTCGTCTTTTTGTCCAAAAAACAAGGCATGTGTTGCAAAATTGTTTGTCCATATACGGCGAATAAGTTAGCCAGGATCGCTTTTGGCTGACAATTACGTTTCCAACCTTTTTTTCTTCGATGAAATACTTGACAATTTTGGCTGATGACTGAGCCTGGGGTCAGTTTGGTTGATACGGACCAAGCAACATGAATCTTTTCTGGTCTTGGATTTATGGATTTTCAATTTTTAAAAAGACCACTGGGTCGTTTTCTGCTATTTCTGCAGCTGTACTGTCACTGAACACGGCCTTTGCCTGATTAGGTTCAGTTTTCTGAATTGACTGCTCATGTCCAGCACTAGACTCATCTTATTCACAAGTATCATAACAAATTGGTTTGCTGACTTCAGGATAACTCTCTTCATCTTTACCGTTCAAGTTATTATCCTTTTGCAATTTCTGATTCCTCCTCCAGTTCCACAGTGTCTTAAGTGACTGTCACTGTTGTCTGGTCGTTTTGACTTGTAGTAGAAAAAGATAATTTCAGCAGTTTCGGATCGCTGCTTGCCAATGTTAATTCAGTCCGTCTTTTAGCAATCTTCTTGTCGTTTTCAGATTTCTGCTTCGATGACTTCATACTTTATACTTTATTCTGTCGTACTACCGTTATCATCGTTTGACAAAACTTGACTGGTAAACGTTTAAATGTACGTAAAACTTACTGTATGCAAACTTTACAGACTACGATAGGCCTACAGACAGCAATTGAGCGAGAAATGAAAATACGACCACTACGGAAGCGGTCAAGCGGAAGTTACCGTCAACGGAGAATATGGAAAGCCAGTGATGCCAATATTATGAGAATTGCGAAGTCACCGAAGCCCGATTCAAGAAGTGCATAATAATTTGATAATGAAATTCAAATTTGATTTACCTAAAAAAGGCCCATGACGAATGGTCGTCGCGTCGTCGTGGGCCAGCACGTCCCTGGTATGCCAAACTCCTGCAGAATCCCATACAGATATTTTCTTTTGGAGCTGTCATAGGCCATTTTATATTTCACATATAGAGTTGGTGTACTAGGATATTATATTCATAACATTTCTCTGAATCTGACCAGTCGTTGGTTTGTTTTGCCTGAATCCACACTGGTAATCATCTAGTATTTCTTCAGTGTACGGTTGTAGTCTTTTGGCAATTAGCTTCGTCAGTATTTTGTATGAAACATTTAAGGAGATTCCTCTGTAGTTTGTGCACTTAAGTTTGGACCCTTTCTTATGTATTGGGGTTACTAATGCTGTTTCCCATTCTATTGGAATTTTCTCTTCTTGCCAAATTGTAGCTGTAAGTTTATTTATCTATGTGTATAGTTCAAGGGTGACACAAGTAGAATTAATTTACTTTACCTCTCACTGGAGCCGAATTGAAGATGTCTTTGATCATTATGATGGCTAATTTTGCCACTCCCTACCCAAAAAAATTTAAATGCAACCCCAAAATTGTCTGAAAGAAACACAAATTCAAGTATGCACCAAATGTACCTCAGCATTTTAAGTTTGCCCGACTGTTTGAGCGCCCTAAATTTCTGCACCCCTTCACTCACGCTGATCAATGGTACAATATGGGGTTGATTATAAACTTGTGCATAATGATTACTCTGGGACACGCCACAGACTGAGTGAATCTAGTTTATGTATGGCACTAGGCGCCATAATGCCTCCCTGAAAACCTTAAAAATGTCCTTCTCCCGTTAAAAGAAGTAAAATAAAACATTGAATTTAAATATACTCAAAAATACACTTCTTGACTTTGATATAATCAAAATTTTCCCTTTGGAGCAGGTGCCTCCAACGATCAAGATTCACCAGTGCCGTTAATTTCCGCCCTACTTCCCGATGAAAATGATCCCCGATTTCGGTATCGATAGATACACTGCCTAGTGATCCAGCTACTATTAGTGCCGCCATGGGCGGGCAAATATTTGTGCTGTCTTCCCTTTACCGATACAAACTCTGCAGTTATCCGAAAATGCCAGACCTGCATATAAAGAAAAAGTGACACCTCGGTGGACCACCCCATCCATCTTTATTTCAACGCCACTAGCAGGTACGTATCTACAGTGTTTGGTGTCAACTGACAAGATTCATTTTACGCCCCCCCCCCCCCACTTTACTCTGAAACTGATTATTTTCAATACTGGTAACTGGCAAAGCCCTCCCCCACCCCCGAAAATTTGGAGTGCCCCCCACCCCCGGGGAAAAAGTCTGAAAGAAACAATACACCTGATTTTATGAAATAAATCTCCCGATAATTGCGCTAATGAGATTCGTTTAAATAAAATTTCGCAATTGCATTTGTTGCGTAATATTATCTTTTTGTTAGTTTTGAAATAGTTGGTGAAATAAATCTGCGGTGCAACATTTGGTGGTGCATTTAAATATTAATACAAATTAAAATATTTGTTTTAATTGCTTATTGAGGATTTACATGAAAAGTTTGTTTTTAGAGGTTTTTAATTAAGCTTACTGTAATATTCATTATCAAGAAGGTATGGTAACCTCTTCTAACTGACTCGAAAACAAAAGGAAGAAAAACTATTTTAAATCAACTTCTTCTCGCACTGTAGAAAATACTAACACGGCTCAGTGTGTCAATAGCTGTAATCAACTTGACTGAGTGTCAATAGCTGTAACCAACTTGACAGGTTTCACTTTTGTGTTAGTGGGAGCAGTTCAAACGACATGTTTAACTATTGTGTTAGTGGGAGCAGTTCAAACGACAGGTTTCACTTTTGTGTTAGTGGGAGCAGTTCAAACGACAAGTTTCACTATTGTGTTAGTGGGAGCAGTTCAAACGACAGGTCTCACCATTGTGTTAGTGGTAGCAGTTCAAACGACTGGTTTCACTTTTGTGTTAGTGGTAGCAGTTCAAACGACAAGTTTCACTATTGTGTTAGTGGGAGCAGTTCAAACGACATGTTTCACCATTGTGTTAGTGGTAGCAGTTCAAACGACAGGTTTCACTATTGTGTTAGTGGGAGCAGTTCAAACGACAGGTCTCACCATTGTGTTAGTGGTAGCAGTTCAAACGACTGGTTTCACTTTTGTGTTAGTACGAGGCCCTGCCGAGGAAGGCTTAAAATGCGGCCCCTCAGTATATAGAAAAATAAATCGCCATAGACGTACCATTTAACAAACGCTTTTGGCGCTCCCTGTCTTTGTGAAGAAATTGGATAGCTTCGTTCAATTTTGCCACCCCCTGATGTTGGCGCCCTTTGCAAGTGCCCTCTTTACCGCCACCCTTTTCACACGGCCCTTCGTGGTGGTGTCGCAGCTGGAAAAAATTCTAGGTATCACAAGCTTGATATTAGAATTAGACAGTGTTCTGAGGATTTCGCAGAGTTAGAACTTACAGTGTCTTCCGTTTTTAAAAAAAACAAACAAATTGGCCCCGAAATGCTCAGGAATGTTTTATTTCTAACAGATTCATACAGATTTGCAGCAATAACATTGGTAAGCCTACTTTAAAAAGGCAACAGTTTAAATAAAAATAATGACTTTCTTATTAGAATAAGGATATCTGCAAATGTGTCATTACAAAGACTTTTGAAGCGTACACAATACAAAACTAATAACAATTTATTTATTTTTTGTTCTGCTGCAATAGTAAATAAAAAACGGCCTATGTTTCAGTGAGTCCGACAAAGATACTTGACCTATTGCACAAGATGCAACAAATTATGTATGTTTTTTTCCTTCTTCGAATCTTAACCCTGCTGGTCGGTTTCCAGGCCAACAATTTCGGTAGGTTGTAAATAACGTAGAATTAACCCGATAACGACGAGTATTTCAACAGCGATCACCGATAACATAATTATTTTATCAATCTCTGTTTTAAAAATAAATAGCACTTCAAATTTATTTTAAAAGTTCAAAGATATCAAAGTGCATGCCGAATAAAAAAATATTGGTCATCCTGACGAGGTCTTTCTATGACTGACAACGACTGACTATGATTTCAAGTCAGACACACAAAAATACACTACAATTAAAAGAATTGTATACAATCAGAGGGTTGGAAGACATGTGCGAAGAGATGTTGGTTTCAAGACATCTGAATGGCCGTTAAAATGATCAGCTAAGACGCATCCACATATTACAAACTGAAATCGAAATATAGCGTGATTATACTCTGTGGACGTTCAACAACATCGTCCTATCGGGTCCTGTGGAAAAATTGATGCTAAATAATAACATTCTTCTGTCGTTGGTTGTGTTAGAGATTGTACGTTACTGTGTTATTATTATTGATAATTTATATTCATTCAATAATTTACCACAGCGAATTTGTAACATTTGTGTACAATGTTTATAAAAGCTGTTAAAATTAGTGACCACGAATCACGGAAGAGATGACGTAGGGAGATTCAGACCTTGCATAGTTAAGATATAACTATTCTTAATGGTACTGCATAATTTTTAAACAATGATCTAAGAAAGAAAGAAAGCGTACGCACCTGTTGTATCAAGGTGCCTTTGTGTCTTAAAATACAGTTTTATTAAATAGTTTGAACTTGTACCGAAGACTTTTAGGAGGAACATGGCTTCGGCATATGCTGAGAACAATACCCAGACGATATTTGGAATCGACAAACTGATAAGTGACGACTTTTTCTTTTACTACACAAGGGTGTTCATATTTTCCCTCAATCCAACAGTGCTTGCTTTTGGTCTCGTCTCCAATGTTATCAACATCGCTGTCTTTGCAAGGATGGGACTGAATGAAAGCGTAACATTGTCCCTATTCTTGCTCTCATTGTCAGACGTCTGCTTTACGCTTTTGAGCTCTCTCAAAGTATCACTCGCCTTTGTCGCCAAGTTCCCAGAAATCGCTCCGAAGTCGGTCGATTTACTGGACCTGGTCTTCATCATATTCTGGTACAGCATGGTCATCTACGACACGTCTACGATGATTCGGGTCTACATCGCCGTGGCTCGTGCGTGCTGCGTGGCCATTCCGTTGACCTTCAAACACATCTTTACCAAACTCATCACTGTGTATGCCGTCTGTGCTATTTTTGTCGCGGTTCTGGCCTCTCGGATGCCGATGTTGGTGTCCCACGTCTTGTGCAGCGTTCCCGACACCATGACCAACGTCACCAGGTTTGTTCTTTTCTTTACCGCCACGAGACCCACAGCGCTCGTCGTCAACGACATCGTCAACAAAAACATTTTCACCTGGGGAGCCATCAGCCTCGTTCTCATCTCACTCTTTGTCTTAAAAATAAAGCTCGTCTCCTCGGCTAAATTTAGACACATGGCGAGGTCTGAACCCCAAGGTCCGAAGTCCCGTGTCCATTCGTCATCGGAGCTCAGCTCGAACGTGAAAGAATATGCGACTCTACTGCGAGGGGCGAGGACCACGTTCTTTCGGAAAAATAACCACAGCCTTGCAGGCCATGAAAATAAAGATGCGGTTCTTGTTGGGAAAGATCTCCAAGTGTTGAAGGTGGTTATTCTGGTGTCGGCTATCTTCATCGCCTGTACTCTGCCGGCTACCATGGCGGCCGTTGTGAGAAGACTTGAGCCAGAATTCAACACAGGTGGTCGTTTGGAGAGTGTATTCCAAGTCTTTTCCAGTCTGTTTGACCTGTCAGCTTTTGTAAATTCTAGTGTTAATATTTTGGTTTATTATAATTTCAATCGAAGGTTTCGTGAATTGACAAAAAATATTTTGCGATTTTCTAAAGATGACTGAAAATTATATTTTATATGTTACCGGGATCTATTTGATGTTAATTTGCTTATTCACATTTTAAGTACCCTTTTTTGGTTTTGTAAATTTAATATCCTTTTAGATTTGGCTCGTTTTATTTAAAAAACAATAAGTAAACCAGTATACAAAAAAAAAAAAACAATGATACCAAAGCCAGTGATATTAAAAAATCCAATTTAATTATACTATTTAAATTTTTATTAATAATACAAAATCAAATAGACATTAATTATTCACATTTTAAGTACCCTTTTTTGGTTTTGTAAATTTAATATCCTTTTAGATTTGGCTCGTTTCATTTAAAAAACAATAAGTAAACCAGTATACAAAAAAAAAAAACAATGATACCAAAGCCAGTGATATTAAAAAATCCAATTTAATTATACTATTTAAATTTTTATTAATAATACAAAATCAAATAGACATTAATCAAAACCAGATTAACTGACTTCACAGAAACTGAAAAAGTATAATCCTCGAAAGATACAAATAATAATTTACAGACACACATAACGAGTACAGTCTTGTAACTTACAGACACACATAACGAGTACAGTCTTGTAACTTACAGACACACATAACGAGTACAGTCTTGTAAGTATATATCGTCTCGTGAATGTCTAGCAAAAATTTCTCCCGGCCAGAAAAGATGTCGCCTTATTTTTAGGGAGAACTTGAAACTCTCCGAAAAAGAAAATCATGAAATTGCTTCAACCGATAGCACAAATTAGAACTTATTCGAACGTAAAGAACCTTTTCCAAATCAAGGGAGTGGTAGGTAAAAAAAAGATTAGAAATACACATTTATTTGGTGACGTCAATAAAAAAGCAAAAATGTGGAGGTAAGTTTGAATGCCACGGCTTGTGATGAACAAAAACTAGGTCAACATACAGGCTATAATTTCATAAATACAATATGAATGCCTTGTTATATCCTATTTTAAACATTTTTCTCTTGATGAATTTTTTCAGGAAAAAAAGCGACCCCACAAACAAACCATTTTACAAAATTTGTTGTAACATGCTTGTCTTTAAAAAAATATATATTTACATGGGTTTACAGAAGAAATTAGGGGGAATGTTTTAACCTTAAAAAGAATTAATAAAAAATATTATTTAGCAAGTCTTTTCAATATTATTTCAATGTATCTTGTCTTTTGAAACGGCTTAAAACAGACATAGCAGTCAAGCTCTAAACTAAGTCAAGCAGCTTCACCTTCGTGAGATTATGGTAAACACATAAGGTATCAAAATTGTTATTTTTAAGTTACCTAAATAGGTGTACTTATAAAAAATTATAAGTTTTATTTGAAAATCACGCTTCATCTCCAAACGCCCGAACTGCGGTACAAAGTAAACCATAATAAAAGAGAAATGAAACAATCTTTATTATACCACAGTGAAATACAAATACAAGAATACCAATTGTAAGTTTGTCATCCCTTTAAACCATAAACAACATAAGCCAATATGCATCTAGGAGATAATAGTTAGCTGGAAAAAATGGTAGACAACATCACCCCAGCAGGTGTTTGCGAAATAGATGTGTTTTCAAATCTGTTTTGAAAGACTCCAGTGTTTGGCTGTTTCTGACAGTGACAGGAAGTGTGTTTCAAATTGTTGGGCCAGCAAATGCGAAAGTGCGCCTTCCGTAAGTCTCAAGGTGAACACGTGGTATCGAGAGTTTGCCACTATCGGACGATCGGAGTTGTTTAGTGGGTACATAAGGCGTCATAGGACGGTGCCAGGTCATGCAAGCAGCGTTAGCACTGAGTTGCAGTTTTGTACTGCGCGGACCGCCAGCCAATGCAAACGTATTTTAGCACGGTCAAATGTGCGTTTTCGAAGAACAATGCGAGCCGCATTATTCTGTGCTTTTTTAAATTGTATCCAGGAGCGTAGCTGGAAGACCCACCATGAGAGCATTGGAGTAGTCCATGCGTGATAGCACCAATGTAGACATCAGCCTCTTTGTTGCATCAAATGTTAAGAAAGGGCTGATATAACCAATTTTAGTGCAATAAACATGAAATAAATGTATAAGCTGCTTAGATAACTTTTACTTGGTAATACTGAAAGTTATTTTTTTTTTTTTACTTTCAACAACACATTATGAAAAGACTACGATTTTTAAATTGGTTTACACTTAGCAATACGGGTGTCAGAAAGTATTCATGTTTTAATGACAGTTGATCTGCTGTTGACATTTACATTAGCTCTGAATCATCTGTAGCTGATGATACTGAGCCTTTTGAATGAATATTTGAAAGCACACATTTTTTACCAGGCCCATGTCTGTAAACTAAACTACGGTTTATTTATCTGAAAAATAGATGTTGAGCATTTTGAACCAAATCTCACCTCGATTTTGAGTTAAAGTTGGTTGAATTACAATTGTTTAAGAGCGTGGTCTAACATTTTATGACTCCAAAAAACAATGAATTTAAAGGAGCTCAATCAGGATACAGTAAGCCAGCAAGACTTACCTTAACAAGGCAGACTACTTGAACGAAGGGCTTCGCTTATTAACATGTTTGTGGTTGTTTTTATGATTTTTTAATGTTACCTTTATGCCATCAAAATCATATTATTTTTAAATATCATTTCTCTTTCGAATAATTATCATCTTTGTTACACTGCTCTATTTTTTTTTTACTGTAGACCGTATGTTTTGTCTGAAAAGGTAAATCTAAGGTCCCAAGAAAGATGATAACATTTATTTAGAAAACTACTGTTCAAAAATTTACTTTCTAAATTTATTGAAACAGAAGAGGAATCAGTTTCAATTTGTGGCGATTGACCTCTGCAAGCATTTTTTTTTGTTTTGTTGAGAAGCTCTCGTCAAAATCTAGAGTAATTCCACGGCATAACTATATTTGGTGTGTGTGTGTGTATGTGTGTGTTTGTGTGTGTGTGTGTGTAATTTTGAAGTCCCTTATATTGCGTTTAAGATAGCAGGTTAATTTCTAGCCAGGTCATTAGGGGAGTGGGAGGGGGGGGGGAGAGCGCTTGTATAGTGTTTACCCTTACTGCTCCGCTTGCCAAGAGGATAAAATGGGAGAGAAACAGTTCGTTGTTAAGCTCTCCGTCTTGTAGTTGTGTTCTGAATGATCAGAGAACAAACAACGCCTACGTTTAATTCATCCTATTTTAACATCATGTGTATTCATTCCATTGGTGGGTTCAAAAACAACACATCAACGGCTATGGACAACTCATCTTATGTTTAACAAAATAAAGGTATCCGCCATACTAAGTGTAGAACGACTGTGAAAAGTCATGACGACTTTCAAAGCTTGTCCCTGGAGGCAAAACCACATGGAAGATTATCATTACAGAGGTTCCTTGTAATCTTATGTTTTCTTAACGTGCCTTTACTGGTCATCAACTCAAGTAAATGATATTTTGAAATATACTTTTCCCTTTTAATCCCACCGAGTGTCGCGAGATTTCACGGGAATTCGGGCTCGTCAGATCTGACCTCACATTCCCTAAAAGATGGGTGACAGATTGTTTAAACACCCCCATTTAAATATTGTGTTTTGGGGTCGATCTCTTTACTCTGGTGCTACTAGCGACTTATTATCTTTTAACATCGGTGAAGCAAATTGTCTGCCTTAGTGGTCGACACCTAGAAAAAATTTGTTTACTAAGATATTTAAGACTTAAAAACTCGACGTACGTGATTTTGAGCAATAAACCCAGTATCTGAGAATTTTAATTTGAATGTTTAGGTATTCTTGACTGATCAGCTTCGTGCCATATGTCCAGCTTTCAAGAGCGACAGCTTTTTAATAATTTTATGAACCCAAACGGAGAATTTTAAAGATGATTCTTACTAAAACCCAATATTTTGATGAAACATCATCGTCACATAAGGTTTAATGATTTTATGGTATCTGTTGAGCGCGGTTTGGGGGAGAGATTATGAAAGGAATGCTTAACATTTACCCCTGACTCTAAGAAATGACGTATCAGATCATCCAGTTATTAAAGTTTGGTCAACGCGCCTCCTTAAAGGACGGGGGAATACAGAAACCGAGAAACATAGATGTTATCTAGTGTTGTTAGCTACCATTCTGTTAATTTCATGAAACCATGTTTAAGAATTTACCCACTAAAAAAACCATTAGTCATCTTTACAAAATCAATGGAAAGGAGCACTCATTGTCCATCCACCACTGAATTTATTTATTTTTCTGAAAGAGTGCTCTAAATTTTTGTTCACTGAAGCCAAATTCACAGCTTAAATATTTATAAATGTTTAATTATATTTGACATCTTGAACTGTTGCCACGATTGTTTTACTTACGTCTTCTCGATGGTAGGTCATTATGCCACGCTCGATAGGTAGGTCATTAAGCAACTATCGATGGTAGGTCATCATGCCACTCTCCGTGAGTGTTCTTTGTTCCCTGCTTTATATTAACATAGGAGGAAATTTAGGCTACGTCATATATATTTTATTTTTAATCATTTACTTCCCTGGCAAATTTCAACGAAGTGTCTTTTTTTAAACTGAGATGCCTACCTGTGGGGAATGTTAAAGAGGATTGTGTTGAACAGTGAAGATTTTCCAAAAGGAAATTATTTTTCAAAGAAACCTAGCTGTTTCTTTTACACATGATCTGATCTGCACTTGTCCACAGCAGTGAACAGGTTGTTAAATAAAATTAAATTGAATGAAAAGAAGATGTATCAACAATTATTTATTTGAAGCTGGTTAGATTGGTAAAAGAAATAGATATCACATGAAACGTCACTTTCAAGACTGCATAAATGTGTAGATTTCAGAAAATGATTGTTCTGAAATCACTTTTACCATTGGGAAAAGTCATAGCTGACTTTGAAAAAAGGAGACAAAAAAAAAAAGAAACAGTCTGAGCGATATTCGATTATATCATTATGTTTAGAAAACCCGATACTCTGCCCGGCGCCAGCACCAAGACGGCAACAAATTTGACCAATTAATCCCGTACTTTGACTTATAATTTAAGTTATAGAGTAGACATCATTGACCTAGATAGAAGTGAACTCGTTCCGATAATTATTTTTGACTTCTGCATAGGTATTTCTAAATTATTTGATCACGTGCTGAGGGGCAAGTGTTTAATTATTCGTCTCTAAAAACGTCTTATTGATTTGTTATAAACTTAGGTTCAAGCGAGGCGAGAAGCCGTTGGTTGTTGGTCCAGATGCACCTTATCGGTAGTTCATTATTTCCACTCAGGCTGATTAATGAGTATGGAAGTTGTTACTCTTGGTCCACGCTAAGATAAAGTTCACGCCTTGAGAGACTAGGGCCGCGACAACAGGAAGCTTCACTGCTTACCTTATCTGTAGGAGCTCAAGTTACACTTCCGATTGTTACATATTGTTTTCTTAATGGTACGCACGTGCTCGTAGATATTTACGGCATATTTCTTTGAAATAACTAAACAATCTAGTTTACTCTGATTTAAGTTGTTACCAAATTAAATGAAGGGCTGTGTTTGAAGCTGTGTGAATGAAATAGTAGAAGATGTGTGGAAGCTGGAATCGACAAACAAGTCAATAAGAGAATAACTTTTTCCGCTAAGAACCTTCCTAGGCAGAAAGAAAATATGACATTACTACAAGAAATGAAAACTTTTTGTTTTATTTTAAACTTAACTGTTCGCCATTGTTGTTTGAAGTTTATTTTTCTACACACATGACAAAAATTTAATCAAGTAAAAAATTTTTATACTTTTAAAAATATTATAGTACGCTCAGAAACATAAAAAAATGGTAACCTACTTGAATTTAAATAATTCCCATGAAGTAGTGGACGTAGACACATTAGTAAGTAACGAATTTATCGCTTACTATGGCAGTCTCTTCGTCTACTTTTTGTATCCGGTACCTCTGCTCTTCGGGATAGTCTCAAACATCTTCAACCTAGCCGTCTTCACCAGGATGGGACTGACCGACAGTGTCACACTGTCACTCTTCTTTCTGGCCGTTTCGGACTTCTGCTTCATAATAATGAGCACCGTGATCAGGTCTTTTGGTCTGATCCTGCAGTTTCCCCAGATTTCACCCAACACGATCAACCTTAAAGACCTAGTCATCGCTTGTTTCTGGTACAGCATGGTCTTCTACGACACCTCCATGTTGATCCGAGTCTACACGGCCGTGTCTCGCGCATGCTGCGTGGCCATTCCGTTGACCTTCAAAAACGTGTTCACGAACAAGGCAGCTGTTGTATCAGTGGGTGTAATATTCATCGCCGTCCTCGTAAGCCGTGTTCCGATGTTGGTGTCCCAGGGTTTTTACGGCGTCGTCGACAGAGCAACGAATGTGACGAGGTTTTTGTTTTACACAACTCCCTTGAGGCCAACAGCTCAGGCGATCAACGACATCCTTAATCGCAACATCGTCACGTGGGGCGCGATTGGCCTCGTTCTCGTCTCACTCTTTGTTCTAAAATACAAACTGGTCTCCGCGGCTAGGTTCAGATATCAATTAAAAGCCGGCCAAACAGACGTGGCAAAATTTTCACCGCGGCAGAAGTCACACTTGCAGAAATCAAATGTCATCAAAAGAACTCACATAAGATTTTATGGGGCTAAGACTCGGAAACCGAGCACAGGAAATGACGTCAATACCTTATATAAAGAGGTCGTCTTGACCGGGAGATATCGTCAGGTGGTCAAGGTCGTTCTGATTGTTTCCGTTATCTTCATCGTCTGCACATTACCATCCACTATCACGTCTGTGGTGAGGAGACTGAAGCCCGAGTTTAACATCGGATTTCGTTATGAAAACGTGCTACTTCTATTCACGAATGTCTATGATACTTCGTCCTATATAAATTGTTGCGTCAACGTCTTGGTTTATTATCATTTCAACAGCAAGTTCCGTAATGTCGCCAGGCGACTTCTGGGCAGGGTTGTCAATCGTCCGTAAATTTACGTACTCTCCTTAAAAATCTGGCCTAAAATGACGGGTCCGTAAAAGATTGTAAGATCTTTAGGATGTCTGTAAAATAATTTTAAAAAATTTAAAATTAAAAAAAGGATACCTCAGACTTTGTGATTTCTTGTTTCTTGCTTTACACTGGTATTATAACGTTATAAAATATCATAAAGCTTTCGGCCAAGTGGCAAAGAGTTGATACAGCCATTGAGATATAGTCCTTGAAAAACCACCTAATGGATATTTAAAATAATTTTTAACATCTCAATTGTTTGGGAAAAATGGTTCTTCTGAAAATGTGTCAGTATTAAAAATAGGTTTTCCATAAAAATTTTATCGAGATTTAGATTATTTGTTCGTTGATTTCATCAATCACATTTTCAATGAGATGCACTGTAAAGGGTTGTTGTTGTTTTTTTAAGCTATTAAAACCTGTAAGATCAAATGTGACTAAAAATTGTAGCTGTTGTTGTTTTTTAACGGCTCACGTGGGTGCGTACTTGCGTCCGACATCAGGTAACACCTAGCAACAACGATGAACGCAGGTCAGCATGTGCAGTTTGTAAACCGTGTAAAACGTATGTCATCTATTTATTCGTCCCCTTGTCATCTTAGATAGCTATCATCAACTGCAGTCCCCTAGAACGAGCCATAGAATCACCAGCTGATAAACAGGTGGGTGTGGAGGGTATCATGGTCAGCCTCTTTTCAGTGTTGTAGCAATCGGGGGGGGGGGTCTGGAAGGGGTGTTACGTCCCTGGTGGCACTTCTATTCTTTATATCCATCAACGGCAAGAAGTGTGTTCTTTGAACATGGGAGGTAACTTTGAAAATGAACATCCTTTGCCCCGCTTGGGTGGCACTATCCCCAACTGAGCCGATTCTTAATCCCTTACCGCCGCTCTTGATTTCAAACAAATTCCCTGTTCTCTTATCTTGATTTCAAAAAAATTCACCGTACTCTTATCTTGATTTCAAATAAATTCACCGTACTCTTCGTATCTTGATTTCAAAAAAATTCCCAGCACTCTTATCTTGATTTCAAACAAATTCCCCGTACTCTTATCTTGATTTCAAACAAATTCACCGTACTCTTATCTTGATTTCAAACAAATTCCCGTATTATTAACTTGATTTCAAACAAATTCCATATTATTATCTTGATTTCAAACAAATTTCCCGTACTCTTATCTTGATTTCAAACAAATTCCACGTTCTCTTATCTCGATTTCAAAACATATCTCCCCCCCCAACCACCACGGTTAAAAAAATACTAATAAACCTGATTATCTTGTTTTTACTGCATCACCTTGAAATGCCGCCCCCAGCTGCAAGGGATGCGGGCACCCTGGCATAACATAATAATATTATTTTATACTTGTGTTGGAACTATATTTTCACAATTTCCCTAAACAAAAGAAGCAAGAGATTGCGGATGGGGATGGCTTACAGTATCATTTAATATTGACTTCAATTCGAGCAGTTCCAGGCCATTGGCTTAGTTCCAAGAAATGAAATGCTCAATTGGAGCAGTTCCAGGCCATTGGCTTAGTTCCAAGAAATGAAATGCTCAATTCGAACAGTTCCAGGCCATTGGCTTAGTTATAAGCCGTGTTCCGATGTTGGTGTCCCAGGGTTTTTACGGCGTCGTCGACAGAGCAACGAATGTGACGAGGTTTTTGTTTTACACAACTCCCTTGAGGCCAACAGCTCAGGCGATCAACGACATCCTTAATCGCAACATCGTCACGTGGGGCGCGATTGGCCTCGTTCTCGTCTCACTCTTTGTTCTAAAATACAAACTGGTCTCCGCGGCTAGGTTCAGATATCAATTAAAAGCCGGCCAAACAGACGTGGCAAAATTTTCACCGCGGCAGAAGTCACACTTGCAGAAATCAAATGTCATCAAAAGAACTCACATAAGATTTTATGGGGCTAAGACTCGGAAACCGAGCACAGGAAATGACGTCAATACCTTATATAAAGAGGTCGTCTTGACCGGGAGATATCGTCAGGTGGTCAAGGTCGTTCTGATTGTTTCCGTTATCTTCATCGTCTGCACATTACCATCCACTATCACGTCTGTGGTGAGGAGACTGAAGCCCGAGTTTAACATCGGATTTCGTTATGAAAACGTGCTACTTCTATTCACGAATGTCTATGATACTTCGTCCTATATAAATTGTTGCGTCAACGTCTTGGTTTATTATCATTTATGAGGAGACTGAAGCCCGAGTTTAACATCGGATTTCGTTATGAAAACGTGCTACTTCTATTCACGAATGTCTATGATACTTCGTCCTATATAAATTGTTGCGTCAACGTCTTGGTTTATTATCATTTTAATAGCAAGTTCCGTAATGTCGCCAGGCGACTTCTGGGCAGGGTTGTCAATCGTCCGTAAATTTACGTACTCTCCTAAAAAATCTGGCCTAAAATGACGGGTCCGTAAAAGATTGTAAGATCTTTAGGATGTCTGTAAAATAATTTTAAAAAATTTAAAATTAAAAAAAGGATACCTCAGACTTTGTGATTTCTTGTTTCTTGCTTTACACTGGTATTATAACGTTATAAAATATCATAAAGCTTTCGGCCAAGTGGCAAAGAGTTGATACAGCCATTGAGATATAGTCCTTGAAAAACCACCTAATGGATATTTAAAATAATTTTTAACATCTCAATTGTTTGGGAAAAATGGTTCTTCTGAAAATGTGTCAGTATTAAAAATAGGTTTTCCATAAAAATTTTATCGAGATTTAGATTATTTGTTCGTTGATTTCATCAATCACATTTTCAATGAGATGCACTGTAAAGGGTTGTTGTTGTTTTTTTAAGCTATTAAAACCTGTAAGATCAAATGTGACTAAAAATTGTAGCTGTTGTTGTTTTTTAACGGCTCACGTGGGTGCGTACTTGCGTCCGACATCAGGTAACACCTAGCAACAACGATGAACGCAGGTCAGAATGTGCAGTTTGTAAACCGTGTAAAACGTATGTCATCTATTTATTCGTCCCCTTGTCATCTTAGATAGCTATCAACAACTGCAGTCCCCTAGAATGAGCCATAGAATCACTAGCTGATAAACAGGTGGGTGTGGAGGGTATAATGGTCAGCCTCTTTTCAGTGTTGTAGCAATCGGGGGGGGGGGTCTGGAAGGGGTGTTACGTCCCTGGTGGCACTTCTATTCTTTATATCCATCAACGGCAAGAAGTGTGTTCTTTGAACATGGGAGGTAACTTTGAAAATGAACATCCTTTGCCCCGCTTGGGTGGCACTATCCCCAACTGAGCCGATTCTTAATCCCTTACCGCCGCTCTTGATTTCAAACAAATTCCCTGTTCTCTTATCTTGATTTCAAAAAAATTCACCGTACTCTTATCTTGATTTCAAATAAATTCACCGTACTCTTCGTATCTTGATTTCAAAAAAATTCCCAGCACTCTTATCTTGATTTCAAACAAATTCCCTGTACTCTTATCTTGATTTCAAACTAATTCACCGTACTCTTATCTTGATTTCAAACAAATTCACCGTACTCTTATCTTGATTTCAAACAAATTCCCGTATTATTAACTTGATTTCAAACAAATTCCATATTATTATCTTGATTTCAAACAAATTTCCCGTACTCTTATCTTGCTTTCAAACAAATTCCACGTTCTCTTATCTCGATTTCAAAACACATCTTCCCCCCCCCAACCACCACGGTTAAAAAAATACTAATAAACCTGATTATCTTGTTTTTACTGCATCACCTTGAAATGCCGCCCCCAGCTCCAAGGGATGCGGGCACCCTGGCATAATAATATTATTTTATACTTGTGTTGGAGCTATATTTTCACAATTTGCCTAGACAAAAGAAGCAAGAGATTGCGGATGGGGAGGGCTTACAGTATCATTTAATATTGACTTCAATTCGAGCAGTTCCAGGCCATTGGCTTAGTTTCAAGAAATGAAATGCTCAATTGGAGCAGTTCCAGGCCATTGGCTTAGTTTCAAGAAATGAAATGCTCAATTCGAGCAGTTCCAGGCCATTGGCTTAGTTTCAAGAAATGAAATGCTCAATTGGAGCAGTTCCAGGCCATTGGCTTAGTTTCAAGAAATGAAATGCTCAATTCGAGCAGTTCCAGGCCATTGGCTTAGTTTCAAGAAATGAAATGCTCAATTGGAGCAGTTCCAGGCCATTGGCTTAGTTTCAAGAAATGAAATGCTCAATTCGAGCAGTTCCAGGCCATTGGCTTAGTTTCAAGAAATGAAATGCTCAATTCGAGCAGTTCCAGGCCATTGGCTTAGTTCCAAGAAATGAAATGCTCAATTCGAGCAGTTCCAGGCCATTGGCTTAGTTCCAAGAAATGAAATGCTCAATTGGAGCAGTTCCAGGCCATTGGCTTAGTTCCAAGAAATGAAATGCTCAATTGGAGCAGTTCCAGGCCATTGGCTTAGTTCCAAGAAATGAAATGCTCAATTGGAGCAGTTCCAGGCCATTGGCTTAGTTCCAAGAAATGAAATGCTCAATTGGAGCAGTTCCAGGCCATTGGCTTAGTTCCAAGAAATGAAATGCTCAATTGGAGCAGTTCCAGGCCATTGGCTTAGTTCCAAGAAATGAAATGCTCAATTGGAGCAGTTCCAGGCCATTGGCTTAGTTCCAAGAAATGAAATGCTCAATTGGAGCAGTTCCAGGCCATTGGCTTAGTTCCAAGAAATGAAATGCTCAATTGGAGCAGTTCCAGGCCATTGGCTTAGTTCCAAGAAATGAAATGCTCAATTGGAGCAGTTCCAGGCCATTGGCTTAGTTCCAAGAAATGAAATGCTCAATTGGAGCAGTTCCAGGCCATTGGCTTAGTTCCAAGAAATGAAATGCTCAATTGGAGCAGTTCCAGGCCATTGGCTTAGTTCCAAGAAATGAAATGCTCAATTGGAGCAGTTCCAGGCCATTGGCTTAGTTCCAAGAAATGAAATGCTCAATTGGAGCAGTTCCAGGCCATTGGCT